TGTTAATACCTCATAAGAAGAAAATCTCCAGGATGATGTGCACTCATACACACACACACATTTCAGCTGAGAGATGTGGTTATGGGCAGGAGTGTGGGCAGTGATGATTATGATGGGTACTGCCTCAGCAGAACCTGCTAGGTATGGGCAGTACCCACACTCTGGAGGGTATAAGCAGAACCCACACCCTGGAGGGTATGGGCACCAGCGTTGCTACCCCAAGACCCACTACATCACCAAGTTGAAAACTGAAGTCCAGCAGGTAAATTATTATTATTATTATTAGTAGTAGTAGTGGTAGTAATGATAGTGGTAGTAGTACTAGTGATAGTAGTAGTTATAGCAGTAGTAGTAGTAGTAGTGGTAGTAATGATAGTGGTAGTAGTACTAGTGGTAGTAGTAATTATAGTAGTATTAGTAGTAGTAGTGGTAGTAATGATAGTGGTAGTAGTACTAGTGGTAGTAGTAATTATAGTAGTAGTAGTAGTAGTAGTGGTGGTAGTGATAGTGGTAGTAGTACTAGTGGTAGTAGTAGTTATAGTAGTAGTAGTGGTGGTAGTAGTAGTGGTGGTAATAGTAGTAGTGTTGGTAGTAGTAGTAGTGGTAGTAGTAATAACAGTAGTAGTAGTGGTTATTGTAGTAGTAGTAATAGTAGTAGTATTGGTAGTAGTAGTAGTAGTAGTGGTTGTTGTAGTAGTAGTAGTAATAGTTGTATTGCTAGTAGTAGCAGCAGTACTAGAAGTAATAGTAATAGTGGAAGTAGCAGTAGTAGTAATAATAGTAGAAATAGCATCAGTAGTAGTTTTATTATTATTAATATTACTTTTAACACAACTTAAATATCCACATAATATACACATATAAAGTTGGGGGAAAAAAGTTCCTAGACACTTTCCTGAGCAGCAGGGTGTTTCATATATATGGACCCAAATTTAGTATAAACTTCTTTGAAATCGGGTCCATTAATTTGAAACACCCTATATATTTGGCAACTCAGAGTAGATTCTATTTTAGTGAACGATTTATCACAGTTTGTAACGCCGATGGTAATTGGTTGACGAAATGAAGTTGTCTGAAAAGTGCCAGGGCCAGGAGCTATGACTCGACCCCTGCAACCACAACTAGATGAGTACACTATGACCCTAATGATAGATTCCAACACTATGTGAAACCCATTCATATCGTCGACCAATCACTATCATCGTTACGAGGTGCGCTAATTCAGTCCCTATAACAGCGACCAATCACTATCGTCGTTACGAGGTGCAATAATTCAGTCCCTATAATAGCGACCAATCACTATCATCGTTACGAGGTGCGCTAATTCAGTCCCTATAACAGCGACCAATCACTATCGTCGTTACGAGGTGCAATAATTCAGTCCCTATAACAGCGACCAATCACTATCGTCGTTACGAGGTGCAATAATTCAGTCCCTATAACAGCGACCAATCACTATCGTCGTTACGAGGTGCAATAATTCAGTCCCTATAATAGCGACCAATCACTATCATCGTTACGAGGTGCGCTAATTCAGTCCCTATAACAGCGACCAATCACTATCGTCGTTACGAGGTGCAATAATTCAGTCCCTATAACAGCGACCAATCACTATCGTCGTTACGAGGTGCAATAATTCAGTCCCTATAACAGCCTACTTTGTTTACTAAGTCTGAGTTGCCAGATACTGCTGCCCAGAAGAGTGTGTAGGAATTTATTTCCCCAAATGTACTTCCATAATATGCACACACATACGCACACAGAAGTACTGTACACATGTGTAAACTAATTCCCCCCTATGTGTATGCAGGTACCCCTACTGAGTACAGTGTACAAGCCAGAGTACATAGCTACCACCCTTTACAAGACTCTGCAGAATACCAGGTACAAGACTGAGTATGTACCCAAGTACCTGAGTACCACAGTCTATGTACCTAAGTATGTCACTGATACGGTGTACAAGACTGAGTACAAGCCAGAGTACATACCTACCACCCTCTACAAGACCCTGCAGAATACCAAGTACAAGACTGAGTACATACCCCAGTACCTGAGTACCACAGTCTATGTACCCAAGTACATCACTGATACGGTGTACAAGACTGAGTACAAACCAGAGTACATCACCAAGACCAAGCTAGAGTACAAAACAGAGTACCAGCTGGTACCCAAGTACCACACGGTGGTCAGTACTCTACACGACCTTAAAACTGTCTGTCCTAAGCCTCCATATGGACCATACTAGAGTACACATACGGTCCATAGGCCTATCTAGCTGTTCCAAGCCTCCCCAGACCTCTCCATAGACCTATCTAGGTGTCCTAAGCCTCCCTAGGCCTCTCCATGGGCCTATCTAGCTGTTCCAAGAAGGCCTACTGTCCCTAGTAGACCACAATCACACTCAATAGGTCTATCTAGGTGTTCTAAGCCTCCCTAGAGACCCTATTAGACCACACACTCTCCATAGGCCTATCTAGCTGCTCCAAATAGGTCTATAGACCAAACCAGACATTTTCTCATATATATTTAAGTATATTTACTTTTTTAAAGCTGAATATAATAAAAAATCTTCAAAATTATTGGATTTTCCTTCGAAGAAAATGGGAAGTTACTCCCTATAGATGACCTGTTTAAAGAAAACGGGATGATGCGACTCCTCGCTATCACATGTTCCTGATGAAGGACTGACAAGTGGTCGAAAGGCCTCGAGGCTTTATATATATATACACATATATATATATGAGTGAGGAAGAGCCAGTTGTAAGTGTGGGGGAAGTTCGTGAGGCAGTAGGTAAAATGAAAGGGGGTAAGGCAGCCGGGATTGATGGGATAAAGATAGAAATGTTAAAAGCAGGTGGGGATATAGTTTTGGAGTGGTTGGTGCAATTATTTAATAAATGTATGGAAGAGGGTAAGGTACCTAGGATTGGCAGAGAGCATGCATAGTTCCTTTGTATAAAGGCAAAGGGGATAAAAGAGAGTGCAAAAAAATTTGGGGGATAAGTCTGTTGAGTGTACCTGGTAAAGTGTATGGTAGAGTTATAATTGAAAGAATTAAGAGTAAGACGGGAAAAATAGGGTAGCAGATGAACAAGGAGGCTTTTGGAAAGGTAGGGGGTTGTGGACCAGGTGTTTACAGGGGAAACATATAATTGAACAGTATTTAGATAAGGCTAAAAAGGTCTTTGTGGCATTTATGGATTTGGAAAAGGGATATGACAGGGTGGATAGGGGGGCAATGTGGGAGATGTTGCAAGTGTATGGTGTAGGAGGTTTGGTTACTGAAAGCAGTGAAGAGTTTTTACGAGGATAGTGAGGCTCAGTTAGAGTATGTAGGAAAGAGGGAAATTATTTTTCCCCGTAAAAGTAGGCCTTTGACAGGGTGTGTGATGTCACCGTGGTTGTTTAATATATTTATAGATGGGGTTGTAAGAGAAGTAAATGCGAGGGTCTTGGCAAAAGGCGTGGAGTTAAAAGATAAAAAATCACACATAAAGTGGGAGTTGTCACAGCTGCTCTTTTCTGATGACACTGTGCTCTTGGGAGATTCTGAAGAGAAGTTGCAGAGATTGGGGGATGAATTTGGTAGGGTGTGCAAAAGAAGAAAAATTTAAAAGGGGAATACAGGAAAGAGTAAGGTTATGAGGATAACAAAAAGATTAGGTGATGAAAGATTGGATATCAGATTGGAGGGAGAGAGTATGGAGGAGGTGAAAGTATTCAGATATTTGGGAGTGGGGCTTTTCAGCGGATGGGTCATGAAAGATGAGGTAATCATAGAATTGATGAGGGAAAAAGAGTGAGTTGTGCACTAGGGGTCTGTGGAGACAAAGAACTTTGTCCCTTGGAGGCAAAGAGGGGAATGTATGAGAGTATAGTTTTACCCAAAGCTCTTATATGGGTGTGAAGCGTGGGTGATGAATGTTGCAGCGAGGAAAAGGCGGAGGCAGTGGAGATGTCATGTCTGAGAGCAATGTGTGGTGTGAATATAATGCAGAGAATTCGTAGTTTGGAAGTTAGGAGGAGGTGCGGGATTAACCCCAAAAATGTTGTCCAGAGGGCTGAGGAAGGGTTGTTTTTAGGTGGTTCGGACATGTAGAGAGAATGGAGCGAACAGAATGACTTCAAGAGTGTATCAGTCTGTAGTGGAAGGAAGGCGGGGTAGGGGTCGGCCTAGGAAGGGTTGGAGGGAGGGGTAAAGGAGGTTTTGTGTGCGAGGGGCTGGACTTCCAGCAGGCATGCGTGAGCGTGTTTGATAGGGGTGAATGGAGACAAATGGTTTTAAAAACTTGACGTGCTGTTGGAGTGTGAAACAAAGTAACATTTATGAAGGGATTCAGGGAAACCGGCAGGCCGGACTTGAGTCCTGGGGATGGGAAGTACAGTGCCTGCACTCTGAAGGGAAAGGGGGGTTAATGTTGCAGTTTAAAAAATGTAGTGTAAAGCACCCTTCTGGCAAACAGTGATGGAGTGAATGATGGTGAAAGTTTTTCTTTTTCGGGCCACCCTGCCTTGGTGGGAATCGGGCCGGTGTGATAATAAAAATATATATATATATATATATATATATATAAAATATATTAAAATATATATATATATATATATATATATAAATTTTATTATTATTATCAAATTGAAGCCCTAAACCCGTGAGAATCATGCATTTCCTGGAAATGATGGATAAATTAGGTTTGATCCGAGGAAAGGGAAGGAGCGGCTCCTCTGCCCCGGATCAAGATCTTTAAAATAATTGATATGTCAAAAACAGCTGATCCCAGATGTAAACAAATGGTTGTCATGGTAACCGCCACGCCTCTCGATGTTTTATTTCTAGAATGAACGTCGCTCGGTGAAAATATGTTATTTTATTCCTAAGATTAACACCGATCAAGCGTGGCATTCTATTTTATTCCTAGAATGAAGGACGACCTAACGGCTCAGGGGAATTACACTAGAGCTATTGGCAGGCTTTTGATCCCGGGGGGTTTGAATTTTTTGGC